ATGTGTGTGTGTGTCTGTGTGTTTGTGTCCTTGTTATTTTGCTTTCACTACATGCCGCAAGTGGCAAGGCAGGACACCGATGGACTTCCTAACGGAAAACGTAGACGCTGTTCAGGCTCGCAATATCTGTCAGCTTCCCCTAATAGATGAATCACCATTTCATTCACTTAGCATGTGAGGAGCTTCTCGCAGTTCATAGGCTGACTGACTACATAGATTTCCCAACGCACATCCTCGGTAGATCTCTCGGATCTAACTGTAGTGGACCTTATATCCTGCCAATCGCTAGACCACATAGGAACATCAAATCACTGTGCAGTTAGCTCACATATTCGTTTCCCCCCTGCAACAGATAAAAGCAGGCAAAGAAAAATGTGGCCTTAGAACCATGCAAACTGGCCAGGTATGAAGACAGAATTTCAGTAACAAAAATAGGATGCATATGGTAAAGCATCCTTCATCACCTGCCTCCTCATCGAAATACTGGAGAAATACATCCCTTCACGGTCATATATTACAAACAAGGGGATCGAATCTAGTTTGGCTGCAGGTGCCATCTAGCTTGCAAAAAAATAATACAGATTGCGGAAAGGTACAAAGCCAAGCTTTGGGAGCGGGCAGCAAGGAGTGGTGATCACTCGTCAAGGAGCACCAAGGGGCAACTCGGGAATCCATTATGGTTCCACTAATCAAGTCCGATGGAACAACTGCTCTAAGTAATAGGGAAAAGTCTGAGCTTCTGGGAAGCTTATTTAGTCATAAAACGACAGTGCCAGATGCTAACAGGATCCTCCAAAGATACCCTTAACATGCCATGAACTCTCTGGTCTTCATATCTGTCACACCAGAGCAAAAGAGATCCTTCAGAACATAAACACAAAGCACCAGGTTCAGATGACATCAGATGTACAGCTATCACAGCCATTATCATGCACCATCTGAAAGGAAGCAAGAGTGATTCCTGGGGATCACAATGGCGAGTAAGATTTGCCACTAACAAGACACAGACAATGCTTATATGATGGACAAGATAACATCGTTCTTCATCTCGAGGACTTTATCTCAGTCCTTGGTGTAGACATAGACAATGGTCTAAGATTTACAAGACATGTCAGCAGGATCTGCAAAACAGCCTCTCTGAAGTAACACCTCTCTGACGTACATTTCACCTTCTGAACCCTCAGGGAATTCCCACGCTATAAAGTCCAAGATTAGACCACACTTAGAGTATCCTTCGTTGACCTGGTCTATTGCGCCCACCAGCCTCAACAGGCTGGATAAAGTAGTAAAAACGGGCTCTCAAGTTTATCCAGGAAGCCACCAATCTTTGTCACCTCGACTTGCTATAACATCGATGCAACGTCGGGTCTCTAACAGTGCTGCAGGTGCCTTATCCATCTTCCGCCTCACACCGCATGCCCGAGAGAGAAGTAAGAGGACGGTATACTCTAATCGGCTCCTGGTGGAAGTTCCGAGGTCGTAGTTTAGTCAGCATCAGCTCACCTTCTCGGTCAAAGCAGCATAACCGTGGAATGCACTCACATCCACCGGTGCCGCCGAAGTGACCACGCAGCGGCACACCCATGGCGGTCGACTACACCTCTGAATCTCGAATGCACTGGTGGCGACACTGGTGCACTGGTGTACTGAACCTTATCATGCGTTAATACTATTTTTATTTCTGTGTTAATCTAATCAATTCATCTATGTTTGTTCTTTTTAAAGAGAGATAGGTCGGGCTTTCAAATAAGTTCCTTTAAGCAGGTGACTTTTAACTTGAACACTCTAAATAAACTGGTTTCTACATACATACATACATATATACATACATACATACATATATACATACATACATACATATATACATATATTTTTTTTCTTTTAACAGCCATTCATTCCACTACCGGACATAAGCCTCTCTCAATTCACTATTAAGAGGTTATATGGTAGTGTCACTCTTGCCTGATTGGATGCCCTTCTTAATCAACCGCGGTTTGGCGCGCTAACACTTGTGCCACGGCGGTAACTTCCCCTACGGCACCTTCGTTTGACTTCTGAAGGCGATATGTCGCGTTCTCGGAGTCGAACCAGCAATCAGAGCTCAGGCATTTTTACGACTGCTGCGGCGGGGAATTGAACTCGGGACGAGGGTCGGAGTCCAGTGCTCTAACCACTGGACCATCACGATAGTCATGTGTGTGTGTGTATATATATATGAATATTTATATATATATATATGTGTGTGTGTGTGTGTGTGTGTGTGTGTGTGTGTGTGTGTGTGTGTGTGTGTGTGTGTGTGTGTGTGTGTGTGTGTGTGTGTGCACGTATGTGTGTGTGCGTGTGTGTATGTTTCTTTGTGTGTGTGTGTGTGTGTATACATACATACATACACACACACACACACACACACACACATACATACATATATATATATATATATATATATATATATATATATATATATATATATATTCATATATATATACACACACATGACTAC